ATTAAACTACTTGATAATGTTTCAAGATAATTATAAAATTAAAACTTTATTTTTCAAGAAATTTAAATATTTTACGTTTAATATTTTTATTGTTAATCAATTTATTATTATTTATAACTTTTTTTTTCTTAATTTAAATGTTTGTGATTGAAATTATAAAGTATTTATTGTTAATGAATCACAATATTTTAATTAAATTTAAATTTATATAATTTTATTTGTGTATAATAAAATTAATAAAAAAAATAATTATAAAAAATGAAAATAAAGTTAACTCGAAGGTTAACCCGTAACCCGTTAGGGTTGAGTTAGGGTTTGACTTTTCCAATCCGCAATCCATTTATAACCCAACCCTCATAACCAGTCACCCGAGTTGATCCGACCCAACCCACCCGTTTGCCGGGTCTAAACACAAATGTGAAAATTTTCAGTTTTAAGGTCTGCATCTTAATACATATCTACTTATATATATATCAACAAATTATGTTTTTTTACTTGTGTTTGGTTTAGCACTCTTACAAATGTTTTATCTACTTATCTGGCTTAAATTTGGACTAAACCCAACATAGGAATTTACCTTTGTGCCTTTGAAGGTTTACCATTGGAAAGAAATATGCACCCTATTCAATTGAAATTATTATTATTATTATTATTATTATTGTAATTATTGTTATTATTATATTTTTTTTTTAACATTTGTTATTATTATTATAGTTTTTAACAATATTTTTTTTTATCTTGGTTATACAATGAGAGGCAATCATTTCTCATCTCTTATCATACCCCATCCGTATATTATGCGATCCACACTCAGAATTTTCTATTTTTAGTGAAAGGAGATGACCATTAAGTTATTTAAGTCATTAACATAGTTTTTAACAACATTAAAAAAAAATAAAAATATTAGAATTTAACAATAAAATTTAAAGAAAATTAAAAAATTTTGACAATTAAAATATTAAAAAATAATAATAAAAATGTTATGCACTAGTAATCATTAGTAGATTGATAATGTGTATCAAACACTTTA